TCCAGCCAGCCGGCGCAGCTGCTGCTGCCCGTGCCCAGCGCCACCAGCTCGTAGATCTCCTTGGCGTGGCCCCTGGCACCCGGGATCTCTGCAGCAGGGGCAGAGATGGCCTACCCTGAGGAGGGGTCCAAGGGGCCTGCCCAAGGCGGAGGGCCAGGGCCAGGGCCATCCCTACCCCTCTCCAGGATGACTGCGGCCACAGTGCTTTTACAGGCCCGGTACGGCGAGCTCCCGTCCAGCAGGCGGTCGAAGCCAGCGCTGACCACGGCCGCGCAGCGCTGCTCGTGGGTCAGGATGTTCTCTGGGCAGGACAAGAGGGCAGAGGTGGGCCCACACAACATGCCTCTGCCCTCAGCGCCAGGACTCAGTGAGCAAGAGTCCACCTACCTACGTTCAGAGAGGCCAGTGGAGTCCTGCTGAGGGTCCTGGGGGGCTCTGAAAGAGAGGTGAGCGGAGCCACGAGCAACCATAGGGTCTGTCTACCCCCCCTTCAGGAAGTCGAGGAGCAGGGGACGCTCCATCTTCCAGACACACACAGTTCTAGAGCTGCTCCTTTAGGGGTCCCTGGCCCTGCTGCGAGCGGAACCTCAAAGGACGTTAAGAGCAGGGTCAGCACCCCTACCCCCCCAGGTCCCTACAGACCAGGTCCTTGCAGCCACCCGGTCCGTCCACGCACAGACCCCCGCAGGGTTGCCTGCCCCAGCCTCTCACCTCTCTGCTGCCCCCTACCTGGCTCCGCGCTCCCCTGGCCCTCCAGCTGGGTCCTGATGTAGCAGAGGGCCGAGAGCGCTGCCTGCTGTTGGGCCTCGGTCCTGCTGTCAGCAGTGCCTGCGGGACAGGCCACCCCGTCCAGTTCTGCGCACGCAGAGAACGGGAGGCAGAAGCCTGAGGAGGGAGCGCGGTGGTGAAGGAGCCTCCTGGCCTTCGGCCTGGCCACGGAGGGGTGCCACATCTCGCTGCCCCCCACCTCCCCGGGGCCACAGCAGCTCTCATCTCTGCCTCCAGCTAAGGACAGCCAGGACAAGGTCGCCCTCACTGCCCTCATTAACAGCCCGTGGCCACGCAGGCGCAGCAGGCCCCTCTGCACGCACGCCCTCGTCAGCTCAGCTGGGCCTCACCGAACTCCTTGGAAATGACAGTGAGGTGCAGAATGAGCAGGCCACCTGCCCGAGGGGGTGCAGGGCCCAACCGGGCCCACCCCAGGGTGGGGGGTGCAGCTAGTTCTCAGGGTGAAAGCCCTGAGCACGCCACATGAGGCCCTGCCTGCCACGGACACATCGTTTGTTCCTCTCCGGGGACCCTACATTTGAAACATGTTTCTACTAAACACTGTCACTTGGGGTGTTACCTATTACACAAGAGAGAGAGATGGACATCCTACACTGCAATCGAAGGGTGAAACGGACATGAGCGCAGTTCTTGCTGCTATGCTGCTTCTCGGGAGGACTGCCCTTTCAGAAGGCAGCTTCTTTCGCCTGCCCCCCCAGCACTGGGATCCGTACCCTCTGAAGGGCACCCAAACCAGCGACGGCTGTCCTAGCAACACCTGAACCTGGCAGGAAGGGCCCGCAGGTGCTGAAACGTGAGTGACAGCATCCCAGGGCAGGATGTTAACAGAACCTCTAAATGTCTCCCCTCGGGAGACTTGTCAGACACAGAGGAGAAACAGAGACCCAGGCAGACCCCACCCTAACCAGGCCACACAGTTAACATCGCCCCCAAAGGACAAGCTACAGCCACAGGCCTCCTGATAGGACATCGCGGCGCCACCACCGGAGCCCGGCCTCAGGAACGGACGCGCCCCAGGTGAGGGAGGTTCTGCAGAACTCTGGCCCCCACTCTGCCAAGCCATCAGTGCTGTGTGAGACAAACACGGCTGACCAGCTGCTTCGGGGAAAGGGGACGAGGGCGGGAGGGCAGCGAAGGGAATTTGTCATGCTAGGGCATTACCAGGAGAAGGGGCCGAACCGGAGTATGAACCGTACTTAGAGGACAATGTCCTATCAGTGTTGAAGTTCCAGAATCCGGTAACTATTCTAGCTATTCATCATGTCCTAGCCTTAGTCTCCGGAAACACATCCAGAACTGTGTGGGCCTAAGACTCTGCAATTCCCTTTGCGAAGCTGCTGGAGTTGGAGTTTGGAGGGATGTGCGGAGACACGGGCTACAGGAACCATTATACGGCTTCAGAGCCCTCACTGAACTGCTTAATAACGTCTTTAGGTAGGGGCTGGCCCATTCAGCTGTCTCCAACGCAGGCAGGGAACCTTAACTGCAGGAAACTGGTGCTAAAAAGAAAAGGTGCAGAAAGAGCGGGCACGTGGGGCACTTCTCTCAGCTCGCCTGGGCCTCAGGTGGGGACAGTGTTCACCTGGCCCTGCCTGCCACAGTGGGGCGGCTGGTGTGGCTGGTCTCTCTTAAACACGGGGACTCCTAGCAGGATCTACCTAGAAGCCCCAGCACAAGGCCCCCTCTCTGAGACGTCTTCTGAGTCCAGACCACTGTCCGCCTCTCTCCACCCCCTTCTTCCCGGGACTTTACCCAGGCCACCGAGCCTCACCTGCCCTCTGCTCTTCCCGGAAGGTCAGGGAGACGCCCAGACTGGCTGCGTACTGCGCGAGCAAGGCCACGGCTTGGTCTGGGGACGGGTCTTTGGGCGGTAGGTTTGGGGGGTTGACACCCGTTGGAGAGTCCCCGGTCGGCCCTGCAGGTGGGACAGACACCCTCGGGGACCTCTCCACTCGTCCCCTCAAATCCTCTTTTGCCCAGGCTGTCCCCAGGTCCCCGACCCCAGCCCTCGCCCCACTATCCTCAGCCACAGAGGCCTGGGGCTGCCCATTCCCCTGATCGTCCTCCACCGCTCTGGGGGCAGACGAGGGCTGCCAGGGGTCTGGGCTCAGGCTGGCCGAGGGGCGCCAAAGGCCGGGCCTGGGGCTGATCTGCAAGGATGCAGCCAGACGGGGCTTCCTGCGGCTGCAGTCGTCGGCGCCCGAGCCAGCGCTGGCGGGCGATGCCATGGCGGCAGCAAAACACACAGCGCCCGGCTGCCCGTGTGCGCAACACGTGGTGGGCGCGGTCCTGGGCGTTGCCCGCGCCGCTGGCCAATGAGAGCCCACAGAGCTGCGGCAGACAGTGTGCTTGGCCAATGGGGAGGCCAGTCTCGCGGACGTCCGTTACCTTCAGCGACCTGGGGGGGGGGCAACATTCCACTTCCGGCCTCGCTTTGGGAGACGGCTCTCCCAGCCTCTTCTCCGGAGGGAGGCCCAGGGAGAAGGACCTGGGGCCTCAGCTCTGGATCGCACTCAGGTTTCTGCTCGAGGGGTGCCTAGCACAGCCCCTGAACCCCTGTCTTCAATGTTCTTTGCACACATACCCTCCAAAATAATCTTGAAATCTAGCTCAAATATCTTTAATTACAAGTTTAGTTACAGTAGATACAATTTCTGATTTATTATGTAAGAATTCTTGATTTTTTTTTTTTGGAGAGGTTTTTTGCTATAGGGCACATGCACTCACCAGAAGGAGAGAGACAGAGAGACAGAAAGAGACAGACAAAAAGAGAAATCACCCCCCGGGGAGGATGGCCACACCACAATCCCTTCTGCTACATTCTCCTCTCAGGATCTTGGGCATGCACTCACACGCACCCAGTGTGAGTAAACCACCGGGTCCGGGACTCGAACTTTGGTCGAATACATGGGAGTCCAGTGACATAGCCTTTACGTTAACTGCTGGTCCCTTGAAATGCATTTTTACCAGAATCATAAATATGCAGACTTAGCTCATTCCATTTGTGGAAAAATGCAGCCCCAATGACCTAAGTGGCAAAGCTCACCCCTATAGTTAAGCCAGCCAGCGAACCTGGACTTACTTCCTGTCAGAAACAGTCTGCCCCATTTTTCTTTCTTTCTTTGTTTTTTTGCAAATAGGGTGCATGTGCTCACCAGAGAGAGACAGTGAGAGGCGAAGTAAGAAGTCGCGGAGGGGAGAGCCATGCTGCAAATCCCTTCTCCTGGGGTCTTCGGCACACACATGGTTGGACTGGAACCATGGCTGGTCCTGTGGGAGTCCAGAGCCTTAACCACCTTGCCACCTGCTGGCCACTGACTTTATTTTTCAGTTTAGGTAAATGTGCTGATATTTTCCCAGAAAAAAATCATTTGTTTCATTCCTTCTTTCCTTGATTCAGCAGTCATTAAACATCTACTCTTCTAGTTGTCTGGGACACACCGGGGACCCACACAGACAGGACTCCTGTGTGACTTCTGAATTCTGATAGCTAGCAGGGCACTCGGCCTAACCCAAGAATCCGGAGTCTTGATGAGAAGGACATCACAACCAGCAGTATCTTCTCCTTTTTGTTGCAAAGCCTTGTTATGGAAGGACGCATACAGCAGTGTTCCCACTGGCAGGGGTCATCGGTTGAATCTTCACACACTGAATACACGTCATTGTCAGCCCCCAAGACCCCTGTGCTCCTGCACTCGTGCATCTTCTTTTTTTCTTTTTAAGTTTTTGCCACAGGGCATGTGCACTCACTGGAGAGAGACAGTGAGGGAAAGTGAGAAATCACGCCCAATCCCAGAGGGATGGCCGCCCTGCAATCCCTTCTCCTTCAGTCTCCTCTTGGGATTCTGGGTATGCACGCACCTGGTGTGAATCGTAAGCCACCGGATCCGGGACTCAAACCGCCGTGCACTATGTGGGAGTCCAACACCTTAACCACTCCCAACACCTGCTGCCCCCCACCTTTACCTCTCTATGAACCACCCCTTCCGTAGGCCCCCCGGGGGGGGGGGGCGCTCCTGGAAGAGGGCTGCTGTTTTGGACTCCCCCTCTTCAGCGCCCTTTCTGGGGTAATGCTCCATAGTGGGGAGGGAGTGGCTTTGAAAGGGTAGGTGGGAAAGGAGAACCACCGGATTCCTGGCACTTCTCAGATAAAAAAAACTCTGCAGACGGGACTTGAGAATTTGGAAGCTGATCCTTTAAAGCAGTGGTTCTCAAAATGTGTTCCCTGGACGGCTACATCAGCATCAGGGCAGGCCAGGGTCACGTCCCAGGTGGCTGATCAGAAACCGAGCGGCAAGGCTGGCCCCGGCGCTTGTTAGGAACGTGCAAGTCAGCCTGACAGCCACCGGGTTAGGGCAGGGGTGAGATTTAGGACTAGACAGGGGCTCTGTCGGCACCGCTTAGACATCTAGGAAGGACAGCCATCAGGCCCCACTGCGGATCGCTGAATCAGAGACTGACTTGGAGCTGCTGC